TTGTGCAAAGCAGCCCAAACGTATAACAGCAACAGAATAAATGAGAAGAAAGTCAGCTTGTCTCACATTTTTAGTTTCCATGGGAACACATGTTCTACGAGGTAGGCTTGGCAAAATGAAATGAACTTGCTCAACAAACACATTTCGATTAGAGAGGGAAAACTTTGTGAAGATAAAACCGTGACTAGAAGACAGATCAGCGCGTTGATTTACCAAGCGCATGGTACGTCGCCCATCCAGGAGAAAAAGGGCCTTGAGTAGAATAGCGTTGAAAGATTAGATCAAGAATAAGTCGTCTGACTAACAGTTGTGCTCCTGGTTCTCACAGGCACAAGGGGAATCTTTGAGCATTGGATAGAGAATTGAACAAAACATAATTTACTAAAAGCAGTATCATGTTTACAAATAGGTAAGTGCACTCTTGTTATTATGCACTTATTTTACTTCTGTGAGCCAAGGAAAAGAAAGCAGGTGAAGTGGTACAGATAGAGTGACTTTCGCTTTAAATTTTTTTATTCACTGCCGCTCTGGGTTGTTATGCAGGTTACCTGCTTATGCCCACATTCATGCTTGGTATATCCCTTAATTTACTGGCTGTCCATTCTCTGTTGAGTAAGCTGAAGAAACCCCCCTTGGAAGCCTGTGTTGGCTTGTTCCACACAACTGAGTAGCAATTCGGAAAATAGTGAACCCCTAAACTGATGCGTGCTTTCGCGATTGGCCGCGTGCTACGCATTTTCCTCACATCATAGTTGTTAGAAGATTGAAGACCTACCTCGCTATCTGAAGTTAAGATATATTTGTGCACCATAGGAGCATAAACCTCAGGCTGATTTTTATCCTCCTTGGCCAGACGTGTACGCTAATCAACTCAGAACAACTGTCATATTGCGTAAGATTACATGTTTCTCATTAGACCCTTATTGAAGTAGCGGTTCACGTTTTCTATTGCGCTGTCTAGACAGGATCAAATTTCCGCTAAATTAAGAACATGGTATTCACAAAGGAGGATGTCGAGCCGAGTCTCCCGAATGTTTCTCTGTAACGCTTCTTTCCGTGCTCGCCGAGGCCATGAAAATGATCATTACAGGCACATTATGGGGCTAGCTGAAAACCCACCATTCCAACGCGCCGGAGAAGTACAGTTTCTGCCAGTATCAATCATGTACCTCGAATATGCGGATATTAGGCGACGAAATTGATGAGGCTACAGGAACCGATGTTCTCTACTCGAAAACTTCATAAGCGTTCGATCGCTTGAATCATCGTATCCTGCTTCACCATATTCTGGAAGAGGGCCCCAAAGATCCAGGGATGAGGTGGGTCAGCAACTTCTTCTGTGACCGTTAATCAGGGGTTAGAGTTAGTACATATTGTCCGAGAAAATTCACGTGCACTGCGAGTCACCGAGACTGTTCGAAGCTTATGCCCAGCCTGTTCTTAAGCATCATTATCGATCTAGCGCAAGGTATGACCTCAGAACGTTTCCGTTGCTGAACGAATTTAACAAGTAGCGGACGATCAGGGGACTGGAAGACCACGAGATCTTCCAGCGCTACCTTGATGAGGCTTGGAATTGATCGGTGAGGAAAGCAGTGCCATTCAATGTAGACAATTTAAACCCGGTTCAAATCAGATATTGACACGCCTAGGACTCCAGGATTAGAGCACGCGATGTTCAGACTAACCCTCAAGAATTGGCCTCGCTGTGCTGGTTCAGGATGATATCGGATGTTCAAGGCAGGCGGAGTAAGCTTCCGAAAAGTCAGTCAATGTGTTTGTCTCTTGCGGAGAGGACTCCAGAGTTCGAACTCATCCTTCCCCTCAGTGATAGTTTCGGCGTACGTCCGTATGTTGAATACTCAATCTGGGCTTAGTACTCTTGGCTTACGTTTATCCTTGCACCTCTGCAGACCCCTCCACGTACGACAAAGAAAAATTTTAAGGCTTTACGCTACCTTCCGTACCAGGAACGGCTGAAGGAACTCGGAATGTTCAGTGGACGGTAACGATGGTTACGTGTAGACCTCATATTAGTGTAACAACTACTGAAAGATCACAGTCACGTATACCGCTGCTTTCTGAAACTTTGCCCGAACAATAATCTGAGAGCTAACTGGTGGTAACTAAGCCAATAGTACATTGTCGTCAAACTAACTTTGCTGTCCAGGCCTGTCAATCCTGGAACACCCTCCTGAATTCACTTGTCTGTGCACCCAACTTGGCCACTTTCAGGATACGTTTGGATATCTCACTCAGCTAACTAAAAGTTGCTACGCGAACGCACACTCTGCTAGGCGAACGCACACTCTGGAGTGCAATCCGGCTTAACAACTCTTTAGAATTATACTCCCCACTGATGCACGTAAATCAGTGCAAACATTTGAGCGATCCTATCGTTTCTAATGCATACCTACTACCAATATCGACGTGCCAGGATAACACAGAGCACCTCCGTGAGACAGCAACACCTTGAAGATCTAAATGGTCTAGTTAGCGGCCGCGACATTGTACTTTCTCTACCAGATAAGGGCGCAGGCTTTGTTATCAAGAACAAAGTGGACTACGTGAGCAAAACGAATAAAATACTGGCTGATGAAACCAAGTATTTGAAGACCACAGCAAGAAAGACAAAACAAAGTAGACTAAAACTCAACTTCGCAACGCTCTCAAAAAAGCTTAGAGACGATGGCTATATTAACGATGCCGCTTCTGAACAACTTTGACTAATAGGCACGGTTATTCCAAGGCTCTATGGACTACCAAAACACATATAAGTTCAATGTTCCCCTTCGGCCTCTCTTGGACATGGAAAACTCACCGTACCATTCGATCGTTCGGTGGCTGGTTGCGATTCTTTCACCTATTCGGAAGCAGATCGCTGTGCACAGCTTCAGAGATAGCTTCGAGTTTGTCGATACCATAGGGGATGTAAACTGAATCAATCAAAACATGTGTTCGCTGTATGTTAGTTCATTGTTCACCAACGTGCCACTGCTTGAGACCATAAATTACATTTATGAGTATGTTGGTGTATTTCATGTAAATCAGGGCAGGCCCACTGGGATCCTAAAGGCATTATTACTCAGATGCACATTTAATGTTCAGTTTCACTTCGATGGCGAAATATACCGGTAATGCGATAGGGTTGCGATAGGCTCTCCACTTGGACTCTTCGTTGCCGATGTGTTCATGGACATGGTGGAACATGGCTAGTTAAAATCAACAATCGCAGACCTCAGTCTATATTGCCGGTATGTGGATGACATCCTTGTTTTACTTCAAGCCTCGTGAAGTATTGTTTAGCTAACAAACACCTTCAAAGAGTGCCACCCAGCAATAAATTTTACCTACGAAGTGGAGAAAAACAATTTCTTTCATTTCCTAGACGCCGATCTGAGAAGACTTGATGGAGGTGCGTTGCAACGTCACGTACATAGGAAATGCATGTGGACTGGACAGTGCACAAATTTCTACAGCTTTGTGCCTTTAGGGAATAAAAAGAATATGATCCATACCATAGTGAGCCGAGCTGAAAAACTTTGCTCGGAAGTAATGTTTCCCGAGGAATTGGAGTGCATTCGCTTGGCGCTGAGAGATGATGGCTACCCAGAAAGCTTCATTGGAGTCAAGATGCAGCAGAGGCGCACACAGCCCGTAGTATTGACAGTAGAACGTAAGCCGATCTTTCTACAACTGTCATACAAGGGCGAAGTTACGACGGAGCTTTTATTTCCTTGTCTTTCTCGTGCACTCAGACGTACCTACCTCCCAGCAAAGATGTAAATCCATTTCACTAACCCTCCGATGGTGAAACTGAACGCAAAAGATAAGAAGCCTGTACACATCAATTCATTGTGTATGAATTCTTTATCCTACTCATGTGGAGCAGAACACATTGATCGTATGACAATGCGTCTATCCGAGCTAGTAAATGGACACCACCCGGCCTGGCTTGGAACTGGAAGCAGAAAACCAGTCAGCTCCTCAATAGCCGCGCACCTCGCTGCCAAAGTGCATGCGACCAAATCAGCTGACTCTTTCAACATTATCTATCAGGCCCCGGCGAACCGATCGAACTACGTGCGTAAAGAATACTAGAAGCTGCTAAAGCAATTGTGATTCGACTGTATGACCGGGAGTTGTGTATCTATGAGAAGCTAACTAGATGGTTTCGACTACCCTGACCAAAACGCTTGATGACCTCTGACCCGCGGGGTCAATTGTCGTGACCTAACGGACAGCCAGGGTACGTATTTAACCCGCTCCTTCGCTAACCACTGCTAATGTCTGTCCAACCATTTTGCTTTCTTTTGTACAACAATTAATTGTAGAAGCCTGATGAGGAAGTATCGAAAACACTTGTTCGCTTACACTGACTTCCGATCCTATCGTCCATTTTACAACAAGCGTTATCCACAAGTATGTGTTATTTATTTCTGTATAGGGTCATAATGCCACACCCGTGATTCTAATACGCTGCTTCCATGTAGCTTCACCGCGATACGCATCTTCTCTTGTTCGCATGTGTAGTTTTTGAATTTGTACTTCCTTCTCTTGCAAACCTATAGGATCTGTCAAACACAAGACACCTTATGTTTCATTGCTCCATAATACTGTAACATTTTCTCAGGTTGCAGAATACTAATTTAATGCTCAGATAAAGGATAATTTTGTATGGGTAAATAATGGCCTAATCCAAGATGAGGAATTTTAGTAATAACCCTATGTTTTCCTCACAAGCATACTAATAACAATTTCTCAACTTGTATAAGAAAGACCATGCATAATGTTGGTTTATTACCAGAAGCATAGAACTGATTCGTTTATTCATTTGCTACCACTGATAGCATGTGAAACACCACACTGAGAGACAAGGCGATCGCGGATACCTTGGTGTGTCTAGGAATGTAACCGGTGGAACTAACCATTCTAACAGTAAGTGTAGTATGCACTTACAGTGTCACTAGATGAATATGTCCTTTAGACGGCCGCTTCAGGACAGCGCGCACAGCACCACCTCGCTGATAAGGTAACACATTCAGTTACACACTCGCTGTGTTAATTGTTGAAGATGACGAAGGACATTAGAGTTATCGTATACTTTATATGCATTTTGTTCAATTGTGGAAGCGTTAAACCTTTACCGCCTGCAGGTGTTTTGAAGGCATGGAAGACCGAATCATTTGATGTCCAGAGCGGTCGCGACGGTGCGACAGAATCACATATACCACATGGATTCCCTATGATTGAGAAACGAATCTTTTCTTCGCTCAAGAAAATATTTTCATCTAGCAACAACAAGAGCACTATAGCGGAAACGGACTCGACTCCCATGTTTAGTGACAGGGATAGTTCACCAGCACAGCATATAGTTCATGGCAGTTCAAAGAATGCTGGTCGACCAGGCCACCGAGTTTCTAGTGTTGTGTCACAACAAAAGACAAAATATCCTCGCTACAACGAAGACGATGCAATGCAATACGGTGTGCATAGCGGCCATATGCAGGAAGCAGCAAATATTGGATCATATTACAACATTTACGGCAGTCCTGGATCGGGTCACCCAGCGCGTTATGAAGGGAACTATCCACATGGTTATGAATATTACAATGATCAGTATTACTATGATGAGTACTCTGATGATTACTATGCAGAATAGTCAAGAAACTTTTTACTTATTGCAAAAGACGTGTAACTCAACACCGTAGGCACGTTTTGCAACCGGTTCAAAGTATTTAAGCAAGAAAGTAATTCCATCCTTCCCTTCGTGGATCGCCAAGCTAACTCTTTCGGTGGTAGCTTCGGCGCTGCTGTTTTCCGAATTCAACAAATTAGCCACTAGAAACACCATCACTCCGTTTCCAATAATCATGTTTTATTGTATTCCACATAAACATGCTGCTAATATTTCGTACTTCCTTTTGCTCTGTTTAGATACAGAAGTACACTTGGCAGTATGGCGCTTATACTGGCATTTCCTGATGGGTTTGCAACACAGCGTTCTAATATTTCTTACTCCATTGTACATATTTTACAAGAGGAAACTACAATGAATGGACAGTAGGTATGGTAGAAATTAGTTTTACCATCTTAGAATCTGTTCTAGATGGAATTTAGTGCAAACATATATGGTAAAGTCACTAAATGTCGCGAAATTCCAAAGAATATTAGCAGTGCAGCTAAGTGATAAATGCGACACAACCGTGTTACTACTGACTATTGATAATTTACGTTTCACGCCGAAACACTTTAATCACTATTTCATTTGCATTTGACACCTTGTGGAGCTCGTAAAGATACTGAGTTTTCCCACCATACATTAATGAACTATCGAAAAAGAAGAATAAGTTTCGTTCGATGCTGCAACCAACTCAGTTTGCAAAAGTTGAGGCGGTAGAAGAAAAGCTTTCAGCATCCAAATACGGACGGCAGTGTAGGCTGTTGCTAAAACCCCACATTTCCTATTTGCAGACAAGCAGAGAGAAATGCATCCCAAGGTATGCGCTTCCTTGATACCAGATTCAACAAATTTGAACGACGCATTGCAACTGTGCCATTCACTGCAGTAATCAGGCTGTCCTTCAGGCTTATTCATTTCCGAGATCCTCGTGTATTTCAACACCTGAAAGTCCATCAAGATCTGCCGCTGAGAAGTAATTTCCTCATTCATAAGTTGTTACTTTCCTTAAGTATAAAGCAGCAGAATTAATATGGTAAGGCCAGCACTCCACAGCTCTGAACAGTAGGAAAATAAAATTGCTTCTTTCCTCGGCAAGGACAAAGAAGAGTGCCTCATGTGACTTTCTACTACGATAATTTTACGGTAGTTGTTAATAATTTCAAAAACTTCCTGTCTACAACGATACGGGACTCCACATATTCAGTTTTCCTGCCTCAACGTGTAACTACAGAGCGACATTTGTACTTTCCATGACGCACATTAAGTTGTTACATTAGTAGTAGTACACCTGGACTGGAATTTAATAATTTAACTGACTGAGATATATGAAGGTAAGCTGCGGTTTTACATTTAGTAAGCTGTCGAGTGAAAGTTATAGAAAGTAGCCTTCATTCAAGAACACAGTCAGACAAAAGTTTTATAAGATTCCGGCTGAGATGGAATAAACTACCTAGTTGTATACGATGTACAAAATGCTTAAGGGTATTCAACAACATGATTAAGATTTTCCTTACACAAGCAAAAGCAAAGGAAATATTACTTTTGCAAATAAACGATGATAGATTGTTTGAGGAAGGACCGGGTCATATTTAAAACGAAAAGGACCACGGTAGCCATTTGTTGAAGAGGATTAGTCTGTCTCTGCTCTTTTTTCAACTAGCACTAGGATCGTGCTATGGTTAGATTTTTATACTCATCCGCACATCTCATAGTTCTTTTTCATCTCTCCACTGTGCGATCGATAACGGATATTTTCGTTGCGATCAATTGTCCGCTATTGATTAACTGATGGTGTTCCAATTCCGATGGCTTCAAATATTCGTCTTTTAGGACAAAGCAAACGCAACTGCTGACACTCTCAACTGCACTCGGACTATCTTCAGTGCTCTTTATTCCTTACAATACACTGGCTGGAATGCAGCATTTCTTTCTCTGATAATTGCTGTACCGTCGTCGTTATTCACCAAGGTTTCCAATGAACTTCTGATTGGGCCATCTGCGAAAGGTAGATATTAGTTACATAATTTTTTAGTTCCTGATGGTTTAACTTGTTCCTTACTTCGTTGTTGGTCAAGAGTGAGCTAATCTCCTGAAGTAACGAATTAAAGCTTCCAAGCTTAAAAATTATGCCCATGAAAGACATGTTGACACTGACTCATTGGCGTATAACAAAAATAGTGCCATAATTGAATGATTCGCATGCCGGAACGGATTGAGGCTTCATCGCCCATAATGCATGCATAAAACAGCGCTTAAAAGAAAACATTTGTTAAATAGGTGATGACTTACTTGCTATTTCGCCACACCGGCACACGGTCAGTTGTAGCATGGAAGTACAGGAGAAACCTGCCGAGGGAATACCCCGCACGGAAGCAAGTCCCCTGGGGACGGTTCCATGATTGGCTGTTTTACTTCAGTTGAACTTTTTGCTAAATCTGCATTTGGTTAGTAATTAGTAGACGGATTTGGGTATGATTTGATTTGGATCATCGCGAGTAGATTCCAAGCCGCATAGGTAAGCTACCAATCCGGAAACGCACCAGCCGCATGTTTCTCCCTATTGGGGCTCGTCAGTGGTGCGCATCCATCGGTCCCATATCGGGGGTCGAACCCATGACCGCTAGAGTCCAACGCCAAGTGGCCAGCAGCTTATACCACTGAACCATGGGGGACAACAGCGGACCATTACGAATTGAAACTTAACTGCGATATAGCCTGACCAGTCCTCCACTGCCGTGCAGGTTATTGCCCGTGCAGAGGACAGTGGTTGGCAGTCACGGTCTGGTCTTCCCTTGCTAGTGGCGTGAATTCACACAGCAAGTTTGAATACTGGTAGGGCTTAGATTTTTGATTAGTAATGAATAGACGGATTTGGGTGTGATTCGAGTTGGTTCATCGCAATTAGATTCCAAGCCACATAGGCAAGCTACCAATCCGGAAAAGCACCAGAGGCGCGATTCGCCTAATTTGGGCTCGTCGGTGGTGCGCATGCACCGGTCCCCTACTGGAGCATTTGTTTTTGTTCCCTTTTTCTTAATCACTCTGAGACCCTCAGATTGATAACTACTTCGAAAATCCCCTTCGGATTCATTATACAAAACAACCACAATTAACTATTTTATGCAATGTTGTTGTACCAATTTATCAGGCCACTCAGTTGAACTGTTGCTTGCATCATCGAGGAATAAAACGTCTATTTATTTATGTATTTACTAGCACACATTGCCCCAACTTCATGAGGTACCGTGAGGAACCATGGCGCATTACATTAGAATCGATGACAGAAGTGGATATTATCCGGATTTAGTTCTTAAGGACGTTTTTTCTGGTCTTATCTCCAGGACCTAAAGTATGTAATATACTCGAGCAAACTCGATATCTAATATACTGCTTGTGTTTTGTGTGTTGACTACCGTGAGTACAATATGGCGCCAGATAACAATGCTTCTAACCAGCGCCTCGCGTAGTTGGCCAGGGAGTTATGTGTGCTGATGTGAGCTGTGCTATCCACGACAATAGCAATTGGTTATCCGTGATGGAACCACCAATGTTCTGCTTGAGGTTTACTAGAGCAGAGAGTATTCTGTATATCTTCTCGTGCTCTGGTATGACATTGACTTAAACGGTATGTTAAAAGGACGATGAAATGGACATCGGAGTAAAAACTGTGTACTGAGTTAACTAGTTAGGTTATCCAGCTTTCGTGGCGCATACAACTATGATCGTCAGCGGTAAGGATAGTACTTTGTGACTGTGAGAACCTCGGTTCGCATCAGGTCGAAGACAGCCGTTAGCGCTAAAGGTGCTCCCACTTGGATGTGTATATTTACTTGGCGCACACAGTAGGTTATAAGGAAATAGTAGGGGGGCTTTGAACGGTACAAATAGAAAGTCGTTATCTCTAGACTCAGTCAGATAGACAGTAAACGCATGGAAAAGCACTGTATGGCCGGTTCAAGCTTTTGCGAATCGTCAACTGTGCGCATTCCATCTGGTCCATACTGGGCTAGAGCCCGTGAACCGACTGTTACCGCTCTGTGGTTGATACCAATGCGGTACGAGAGATGCTAACGACCACCGCGCATACAGTAGACGACGAAGTTTGTAGCAACATACGCAATTGCTTTGTGTAGCTATTAGAGTATCATGTATAGGAAAAGAGTCAGTGATGGATCAAATGAGTAAGTCAAGATAAGAAAAGGAACTTCGCTTTTTTACTAAATCATGCGCATTGAATAGTTGTTTATCAGGAGTAAAAACGCATGAGATTGACAAGTCCCGTAGGATGGTTGGAGTGAAAATTAAAATTGAAACGATCAACGAATAAGTAAATCATCATTTTACGAATCCATCGATTTAAATACACTGTTGCATAACAATAGTTTGAAATGGGGATGGGTTGTGTACACCCAAATTAGCATGTTAGCAGTTATAGTTCAGTAACACCGTACGGAAAGAGAAAGGAAAGGACAACGCTCATTCGTGTGTTGCTTCATTTGACAAATGTGGTCTGTTACTTCAATTTAGATATATCCACGCTACTCACGAGGACGCTTATAATATTGTAAATTATTTTGCACACGGTGCCAAGAAACCCAATATCTATCCTCACCTCCACGTTGCGGAGAAGGCAGTTAAGCCGACAACAACGGACTACACCAAATAATGAAAGTTGGAAATTGTGTCATCAAGGCATTTTTTGAAAAGCATTACTGTAGGGGTAAGTATAGCGTGAGTCAGAACAGCGTTCGAGGCAGGGAAAGCACGGAGAGAGAAAACGTTTCGTCGACAAACAAGTTGACTGTAGTGCGTAGCCAGTTTGACTTGATGGCTTTTCATGTTAGTATTTTGGCTCACTTGCGACAGGTTGTGACTTGAGTAAATTGGGTTCGTCAGTATTAAGTAGACCTTGATGAGGTCTGCTCACAGACGTTGGTGTTCATCACCGTACAATATCAGGGACTGCAGTCTGCGCTGATAGGCGAGATGAAACAATCCACTAACGTGTTTGGTTGTTCAACGTTGTTTCCAGGGATGCATAAACGATATCAGTTAGCAGCACTTTTGGTCACTCTGGAGAGGATCAATGGGACCGTTGAAACCGACCCGTTTGTTTAATTAGAAGGTACTAGACTTTTCTCTCAATCGAATCATGGAAAACCCGTTTGCTAGTGCGCACTTAACATACGAATCCAAAC